TACCTACCAGCCATACTCAGTTTTGAACCCACACTTTACATGAGAGTCAGTGTGGCCTAGCAGCTGGAGTGCCAGACTAGGATCTGGGAGACCCAGGTTCAAATCCCCACTCTGGGATGGGAGGGCAATCAGGCTGCGACATGTCACCCCATTGATCACCAGGCTTGATTTGGCTAATCTGGCTAGCTAGGTGGGTGTCCCCGCCTTCCCTTCCTCCCCGTTCCTTGTGTGTGTCCCTCCCGAAGCTGCATGCTCGGTCGAAGAGGACGACCATCCCAGATAGGAGTGTACCGTTCTTCGGTCAAGGGTTTATGAAATCCCCACTCTGCCATGGAGGCTTGCTCAGTGACCTTGGGCCAGTCACACACTCTCAGCCTAACCTATCTCACAAGATCATGAGGATAAAATAAAGGAAGGGGGAACAATGTAAGCCCATCTGTATTCCTCATTAAGGAGGAAGGTCGAGCATAAGTGAAGTAAATAATTTAATTTCTTCCACGTAGCACCCACTGGACACTGACCAACACTGAAAGGTGTAAGTAGATTCAGGAGACTCAAAGCAACGCAGGATTGGATAGAGAGGGCTACCAGAGCTCCAGGCTAGCCCTCTCCTGTCCTCTTGGATTTCATTACCTGGCCCATGTTTCCACATTGAGAGCAGAGGAGGAGGAGGTGTCAGAACCAATTTCGTGGCACCCCCATTACCCAGGATCTCCCAGAGACTTTTGCTTGAAGACTTACTCTCCCGAGATCTACCTTACATTAAAACAATGCTCACTGTGGTGGATGAGGGCTTGTGTACCCTGGTGGGAGAGGAGGGGGCCAAACGGCTACAGGTGGCGGCATCCAGTCCCTTATTTCCACAAGCTCCACCATAAGTTGAGGCACAGCCCTTGTCTGTCTGCGTGTGCCGTTTCTAGGCCTCCCCAGCAAAGCTTTTAATCTCTTCAGAGGCTTCAGGAGAAAGAGGGCTGAAGGGCAAATGCACCCCAGGAGCCAAGAACAGATACTTGGCCATCATGAGGACGCAAACTATAAAGATACAATTTACATAAGCCTGCTGATTGTTTCTTTTGGGTTGCTGCTGCCGTTGTCAACAACTTGTCTGCTGAACTTCTGCAGAGAGGAAGGAAAAGGGAAAGGCCTTGCTCTGCATCAGTGTTGCTAAGCAACAGGTCACAAAGTCAGCAGCATTCTAAACATCACAAAAAGGAAGGCAAAAGGGCAAAAATAAAAAGGAGTTAAAGGAGTTAAAGGTGTAACCTACCTTTAGTGGGAACTAGTGCCTCATCTCTCTCTCTCTAGTGGGTTTTCCCCCCCGGCTTCTCCAGTCTGTAACCTTCATACGTTCTTAAATGCTTTGTATGTATTCCCAATTACATGCTGACAATTAATACTACTAATTTTACTTCCATTTTATCAGGTTCCGATGCCAATATTTCTATGGCTTGTCAACACCTCACTACCAGCACCTTATCCTAACTGAATTTACAGCGGCCTATTGGTACTTTTCTATTGTTGCCTTTCTTGGGGAACTAAGTTTTAACATTCTTTTATGTCCAACATATTTTTATAATATGTTTTATAATATGAAATATTTTCTTATCCATACAGATGTTCTGGATTCAACACTTTTTTTGTACAGGTTTAAATATGCCTGGCAAAATATAATTTTGACTTAAGAGTGCAGTATTCAAATGCACTGATAATCAGCTCATTCAGAGCCGCTCACCCTTGTGGCTTCTAGATAATTAGTTTTGGGTCATCACCACCATGACCACACCCGTTCCCTACTCAGGCAGCGCAATCCAGACTGCAGTCAATGGACTTAAGAGAAGTCTGTGTCTGCTCAGGGCAGCATCGTCAGCCAGTCACATCAGCCTACATCTCCACTTCACATCCCAAAGGCATATGCCCTGAGAAATTGGGAGAACACTGGACCATTCCTCATAAATCTTAATTATTAACAGGATGGAGAAATTAAAGATCATTAGTGGGGCAATTAGCCTTTTCAGAGGTTGGCAGGAAAGGCAGACCACCTTTGCCTTTTAGTCTTAAACCTCAGAACTCAAAAACGTTTAAGGATGTCATTAGGAAAGTCATGTGGGTGAACAGATGATCATCAGCGACATGAAAAGTGTTCCATAGTAAACGGCACATGTGGAGAACAGCAGCAAACCTGAACTGCTAAGTTAGGGTCCGTTTGTTTAGTACCTAAAGAAAGGGCTTGACTTCACTGTGCACAGGCAGTAAATGGAACCAAATAAGATCCTCTAATTTAAGTTTTATTTTAAGGAACTTTGATATCCATTTGTATTGTAGCAGTGTCTGTACGGCCCTAAAGAGAAACCCCAATGTCAGGAATAGGTGCCAGTTAGGGCATATGGGCAACCAAAAAGGTGCAGAACAAACCAGTTGAAACAAGGAAATCATCATATGAGGTAGAGAAGAACCATGTCTACTGCCCCAGTTTGTGACAGAAGGGTGGGAGTATATATATATCTACTGGGTTATATTTTCATAGAAATGTTCTGCTGCACTACTTTTTAGTTTAAAAAAAAAAACAGAGAAAAAAATAAGCACCCTTATAACTCATTTGCAAAACAGCAAGACCCAAAAAAATTAAGATCAAGGTTGATTTAAAAAAATAAATAAAGTTGCTTGCTTATTTTAGTGCAGAACTAGAAAAAGAGCCATGCCAAATCGGGATAACTGCGCCAAACAAGACTGACTTCCCGGGCAATTAGAAAGGAAAAAGGAGCATATACACGGCAGTCCTACAGAAATCAGGAAGCCACAGGCAGAAGGGCGAGACATATTAAAGGCTACACAAGCTTGTATTACAGGAAGTAATGGAGTTACAAAGGACCAGTGCAGATTAGATATACAGGGGAGACAAACTTCCTAATGAGGCAAATCACTGACATTGTAACAGCCAGACAACATCAGGTCATTCAAGCAGCCTGATTTGAAGGAGAAAATCATATCTGAGGGGAGCAGGCTTGTCTACAGGGTGGCCAGCGCTGTACTCCTAAGCAGAGTCCTAAATCAACGGGCTTAGAAGGGGGTTAAGCTCTGCTTAGCTGCAAGTGGACTATATGTAATGCAGCAATAGCATATGATGTCAGGGGCATGGGGGTACTTAAAGTCTGTTAGCCAAATTGCTCTATTTCTTAATAATGGATTGGGGAATTATGATATTAAAAGGCAATTTGCAAATAGGGAACAATAACCTTTGTATACAGGAGTCCCACTTATTCCAGTAATTCCAGAAATTAGATGCAGAGACCAGATCTTAAAGAAATGGTTTCTTTGCTGGGGGATTTGCACGCATACAAATAAACACAATCACACACTCAACAATACAGAACTAGGAAAAATAGACTGAAAAGATACAGAGACATTCACATTAGCAGGAGTTCGTTGGTTGGGCAATACTGACCTGTCTGACGTGATGAAGTGAGCCTTGCAGCGGAAAAATAGGGGACATTATAAGGGGGAAAGGGTCGTATTCTGAACCAGCAGAACATGTGGAGAGACTCTGGGCAGAGCATCTGCTTTGCCTGTATAAGGTCCCAGGTTCAATCCCCGGTATCTCCAGTTAAAAGATCTGACAGTAGGCAATGTGAAAGTCCTTGGAGAGCTTCTGCCAGTCTGAGTAGACAATACTGACTTTGAAGGAACAAGGGTCTGATTCAATATAAGGCAGCTTCATGTGTACTCCTGTTAAAGCATCCACATTGTGATGTCTTCTGTCCCTAATCTTTGAAATCTTTTCTTCTTGCCGTTAAACTGAGTCACTCTCTCCAATGTTGCCTATGAAGTTTCCGAACAGCTATTTGGCATTAATTCTGTGTCAGGGACACTACAGATGTTGCAAGAATCAGAGCCAACAGTTACGGACCAATCCTGTGCCTGTCTATGCAGAAGCAAGTCTCCACTAGGGATGTGCATTCGGTTCGTCCGAACCGAGGCGCTGTAGCGTATACACTCATACTCCAGCACAAGCTGAGCCTGCCCACACAATCTGTGGCAGAAGGAACGAAGTGAGGCCTATTCACATACAGTCGAAACAGGGGTCTGGATCCAACAGAAGAGGTAATGGAAGGAGCTGCAGTGCATCCTTCCTCACTCCTCCCTTCCACAAGCAGCCTTCTGTTACTGGTCCCCAAAACTCCTCTCTGAGGATCAAGGCATCTTCATAGGCAAAACGACCCACTGACAGGCCATGTGGGCTGCAGGGATAATGGGGAACATAATAATGGGGAATGAAGTAACATCATCCCTACCCCTGCTTCCATCTGCAGCTTGAATCAGCAGAAGAGAGGGAATTTTGCTTGAATCCCCATCGCTGCTGTGGCTCCTTTGCCCTGTGGCACATTTTGTTTATGAGGCTCTCCTAGGCCTCAGACAGAAATTGTGGGACAAAATGGCAGGTTGCTTGAGGAAAGGGCAGGCGGGTAAAGATCCTCCCCACTAACACCTTCTGTGAACTTTTCTGGTAGCTCCAACTCACAGCTTAATAGCTTGGGACATGAGCTAGGGCTCATTTAAAACAACATCCACAGGATCAGGGACTGCTACTGTTTTGAAGCAGTGGTACAATAACTCTGCTACCACAAAATAATTTTGCTTCTATTGTCTAGAAAAACCAATGTGCAATTTACTCTACCACATTAATAGTAAATTATAATTGTACAAACAGCTGGAGGGTTCTAACAGAAAAAACTGCATAGTGCCAGTTGTCAGTCTAGGGCAAAAATTTACATACTGCAATGCATGTCTGACCCTATTGTCTCTGGTATCCCCCCTGCACATTAGCAACAAATTCCAACCAGAAATGGAACAGCTCCATAAAGCCCTGTATTGTGCGATGTAAATAATTCCTGTGTACTTAAGCCACATTTTCAGATCACTTTATCAGGCAAAGTGTAAGTTTACTGAAGTATAAAACAAGATGCCAAACAACAACAAAATATATTTATATATTTGATGTCAGTGTTAGGCTCTCCCTTGAAAAGCTTTCAGCAATAGGTCTGCAGCCAGCCCTGGGGACAGGAGCCCGCTGACGACCTTCTCCTCCAGAAGCGGAATCTGATCTCTCACTGCCGAGTGACTCCGGAAATGGTCCAGCATATTTTCTTGGATTACATTCCACATCCACACTTTTTGCTGTCTCCGCCGTTTGGTGATCAGTTCACCACCTGCAAGCATAAGGTCTCGGAATTCTGTCATCTTATCCCACATGTCGGAGATGCCTTCTCCAGTCCTGGCAGAGATCCGCATGACCTATTAGATTCAGAACAGACTTCTTAAGAGATACAAGACAAAAATTAAGCTATTAGGCTGAAATGATTTGACCATAAGCATCTCTGAAGAAACCATAGATAGCTCAGCTATTAAGCTGAGATATTCAAAGATACTAGAGATACTTTTGGGGAGGGGCTGTGGTTCAGTGATACAGCATACACTTTTCATGCTGAGTGTCCTAGGTTCGGTCCCTGGCATCTCCAGCTAAAAGGATCGAGTACTAGGTGATGTGAAAAGACGTCTTCTTAAGATACTGGAGAGCCACTGCCAGTCAGAGGAGACAATACTGACCGTGACAGACCCATGTTCTGACTCAGCCTAAGGCAGCTTCATGTGACTATAGAGACTCTGACACCACAAATGCTAAGTATCTGGGAAAGGCTCCCCAATAAAGGGCATGCCTTATCGGTCCACCCTCCCCATATACTGGAGCCATTTTTAAAAAATTATGTGGGGCTGTGTTTAAAGATGGCTTGGAAACTTTAATTAAGTCAGGATTCAGCTGTTACAAGAGTCTGGGACTGTGAAATGGAATGAATGAAGACCAACAAACTAAAGTTCAACCCAAACAACCCCTAAGTACTACTGGTTGTCAACAAAAAGACTGAGGAGTGGATGGTGTAGCACTCGCCCTAGAAGAGCAGGTTTTCTGCTTGGGGATGCTATTAGACTGGTACCTACTAATGAAGGTTCAGGTCTCCACCATGGCTTGCAGTATATCTTTATTCAATTTCAGTTGGCATGCCAGATACAGACCTTGAGAGGCACAATCTGGCCGCCTATTGATCACATCCAGTCAGATTACTGCAATGTGTTCTGTGTAGGGCTGCCTTTGAAAACTGCTAGAAGCTTCAATAGATACCGAACACAGCAGCAAGAATACTGGCTAGTGCAAGCTGCAGGGAATCTCTCTCCCCAGTTTTTAAAAGGGCTACACTGTCTACTAATTCATTTTCAGACACAAAGTGCTGGTTCATTAATAACCGTCAGAGCCCTGAACAGGCTGGGACCAGGGTACTCAAAGGACTGCCAGCACCTATGTGCCTGACCAGCAGATGAGCTCTTTACTTTGGTCTCACCACTGCAGTCTGTTTGATTTGAGAATTTTAGGTGAGTAAACTTTTTCATCCCATTTTAAAATGTTCAAGTACATTTACTGGTTTTTGTTTTCTTTTATTGAAAGACAGTATACAAATACTATATATGAATAAAATTAGATTTTAACAATTGTGCTTTCAAACTGGTGCATGTCAACTTTATGTCCAGCTTATAACTTTTAAAGAGGCTTATAGTTAAGATTCCGGTAATTTAAGATTTTCCAAATGCATACACTTAAAGAATTATGTATATCACCATCACATGATAATGTGGAAAGCACTATTAGAAGAGACCTGGAGAACCATGTGGGTTCTGAAGTATTAAAATCAATACCCTTTCACCTAAATCTTATATTTTCCCCCAACAGCAAGGAAGAGGGAAGAAGTTTGTTTTGTATGTACCAACCTTTGGGCTCCAAACTTTAGAGCGCTTACGGAGCAATTTCAGCGCACTGACGTATTCTGCTTGAATTCTCCGCGCTGGCACAATTAAATCTCCATCAGCTTTCGTTACGGCAACGAGATCTGCCATCTCAATGATCCCCCGTTTGATGCCCTGAAAAAAGAAGTGGAACCCTCAGGAACATTATTGTAATCAATAATTATCTCCTTAAGCAGACCCAGAGCGATGCTGAAATCAGGCAGGAAGACTTTTTGCTGCCTTTTTTCTTCACCTTAGAAATTACATTGCCAAATCGTTGCTGAGGTGTAGTTCACTATCTTTTAAAAGGAAATCTTAGTTCCTTGGACCACTGTGTTGAGAAGGCCTATATGAAACCTTCAGGCATACATAGGAACAGCTGGCATCTTATCCGACTGCTGCAAGATTAAGAGCCCCGTGATGAAGGCATCTTAGCAAACAGCTTTTAAGGAAGAGCCAGATTTGAGTCCAGCAGCACCTTAAGAGACGAACAAGATTTTCAGGGTATGAGCTTTCAAGCACCAAATGTTTCCCCACATAGGGAACTTTGACTTTTAAAAACTTATACACTAGAAATCTCTCTGTGTTAAGTGCCATAAAGTCACTTACAACTTATGGCGACCCTATGAATTAATGTTCTCCAAAACGTCCTATTCTTAGCTGCCATTCTCAGATCTTGCAAACTGAGGCCGTGGCTTCTTTTATTGAGTCAATCCCTCTCATGTTGGGTCTTCCTTTGTTCCCGCTGTCTTCAACGTTTCCTAGCATTGATGTCTTTTCCAGTGTTATTTTCTCATAATGTGACCAAAGTATAACCTCAGTTAAGCCATTTTAGATTCTAGGGAGAGTTCAGGCTTGATTTGATCTAGAATCCACTTTTTTGTCTTTTCGGCAGTACATGGTATCTCTAAAATTCTCCTCCAACACCACATTTTAACGGAATCTACTTTCTCCCTGCCAGCTTTCTCCACTGTCCAACTTTCACATCCATACTTAGTCATGGGGAATACTATATGGTATGAATTAACTTGACCTTGGTTGCCAGCAACACATCCTTACATTTAAGGATCTTTTCTAGCTCCTTCATGGCTGCCCTCCTCAGTTTCAATTTCCATCTGACCTCTTGGGTGACCTCTCCCTTTTGGTCAATGACGGAGCCAAGAAACAGAAAATCCTGAACAACTTCAATTTCTCATCACCAACCTTAAAAGTGTAATTCCCCAGTAGTCATTACTTTTGTCTTCTTGATGTTCAGCCTATAATCCTCCTTTGGCAGTTTCCGTAGTCGTTTCAAGTCTTCACGGTTTTCTGCCAAGAATGTTGTGTCATCTGCAATATCTCAAATTGTTAATGTTCTTTCCACCAATCGTCACTTCACCTTCAACTAAATCTAATCCACCTTTCCTTATGATGCGATGTGTTTTGCATACAGATTGAAGAGACAGGGCAATAAAATTAATTGTGGTCTAACACCTTTGCCAATTAGAAGCCATTCTGTTTCCCCCTATTCTGTCCTAACAGTGGCCCCTATGGACGAGTATAGATTGTGCATCAAAACAATAAAATGCTGTGGCACACCCATTTCCTTTAAAGCCAACCATAGCTTTTCATGATCCACACAGTCAAAAGCTTTGCTGTACATGAAATACTTGCTGATTTTCTTCTGAAATTATCTCATATGTGTTAATTTGCAATATGATCTCTAGTGCCTTTTTCTTTTCTGAATCCAGCTTGAACATCTGACATTTCTCACTCCATATATGGTAACAGTCTTTGTTGTAAGATTTTGAGCATCACTTTACTTGAATGAGAATTTAATGCAATGGTGTGACAACTGCTGCAGTCTTTGACATCTCCTTTTTTTGGAATTGGGATATAAATTGAGCATTTCCAGTCTGTTGGCCATTGTTTTGTCTTCCATATTTGTTAGCACAATCTTGTTAAGATTTTTATGGACTCAGTTTCTGTAGCTTCGAATAATTCTATTGATATCCCATCTAATCTTGGTGACTTGTTTCTTCCGATTGCTCTTAGTGCAGCTGTCACGTCACTGTCTAGAACTGTAGATTCTTCTTCAAAAGATGCTTCTTGAAAGGAATCTGTCATCCTTTCATCTCTTTTGTTCAGTTCTTCAGTGTATTGTTCTCATCTTTTCTTTATTTTGTCCTGTTCAGTTAATATATTTCCATGTTGATCTTTCAGCATACCTATGATTTAAATTTCCCTTTGATTTCTTGGATCTTGTGGAACAGTTATCCTGTTCTTCCTTTTATGTTGTTCTTTTCTATTTTTTACAATGGTCATTATAAAAGTTCTTTGTCTCTATGTGTTGAGTCACTTTGTGCTCAGCTCTTCCCTAGTAGCTGACTGAGAGCTATCCAACCTGGAGGTTCCATCTTCCAGCATTGTATCTTTTTTCATTTTGTATTGTCTCATCATAGGGTTTTTGAGATAAGAGTTGTTCAGAAGTGGTTTACCATTGCCTTCTTCTGTGCTGTACTAACCAGAGTTAGCTCTAGCATCCACTGCCATTGTCTATGAAAGGTACTCCAGCAGTGTCACCTTCTGCTACTTCTGTTGCCCAGTAGCTACCCTTCGAGGATTCCTCTGCCCCCATCACCACTGGAACTGTCCATTCTCTTCTATTGATCTGTGCTGTTGATCCCCAAAGGGGGTGGATGCATCTTACGCCATTTCCGCACTGTCATTTTTGTCACTTGTTTGTTCCTATTGCTTCAGAGTTTTTTCTTCAATGTGTTTTGCTTTCTCTAGTAGTCACAGAGGGAGCAAAACACATGTTGGGGGGGGGCAAAGCAACAGGAAAAAACGAAAGTGACAGTGCAGAAGTGGCCTTCGTCTGGCATCTTAGCTTTAAGTGATATTCCACCTTGAGTAACTCTGCTAGAACTTTAGACCCCTTAGGTATTGGTCTTAGCTTCGCTGACACACACAAACCCCCTCACCGCATTAAGGTGTGCATCGAAGCGGGGCTACTGGACTCAGATCTACTACAGACCAACATGGCAAACCTCTGAAACTAAGGAAGAGCCACGGTCATCTTTTTCAAATTTGGACTTAGTCAAATCCTGGATGCAGATGCAGATAAAAATAGCTCAACAACATAGCAGTCAGTGTCTCTGAGCCACAAATGCAATAAATGCTGTAGCGGACACTGTATACTAAAAATCTATGTTAAAAGTCATTGTTAAAAGTCAAAATGGGCAATAAATTCTACTGTATTATGGTAGCTTAGGGAAGACATAACAAGACAAACAGCAGTACAACCCACCCTCTTGGAAACAGTAAATACTGTCAAAATTAACACCATATTTTGTTGCGAGGAGAAAGCTGAATATTTAGGAAAACCTGATATTCTCATATTTGCTTCTTGCAAAACTAAAAACAATCAATACCTGCAATTCATCACCTCCTGCTGGTGGCAACAGCAACACAAACATATCAACCATATCAGCAACAGCAAACTCTGATTGCCCCACACCTAAGAATGGAAAGCAGAAATTAATCACTCACTTTGGAAAGAAGAAGGAGGAGGAGGAGGAGATTGGATTTATACCCCGCCCTTCACTACCCAAAGGAGTCTCAGAGTGGCTTACAAACTCCCCACAACAGACTCCCTGTGAGGTAGGTGGGGCTGAGAGAGCTCTGACAGAAACTGCTCTTTTTCAAGAACAGCTCTTATCAGAACTATGGCTTGCCCAAGGCCATCCAGCAGGTGCAAATGGAGGAGTGGGGAATCAAACCCGATTCTCCCAGATTAGAGTCTGCGCATTTAACCACTACACCAAACTGGCAACATCATAAGGCCATATTTTTTTAAGAACAGGCTACTGTAAGAAGGGCTTAGTGTGTGGGGATGACTGAAGAAAATGTTGATGCAGAGTAAAAAACAAAAAGGCAAACAAGATGAATCCAAAAAGCTCCACCAGAACAAGGAACCCAAGAAAGTCACTGCACATTAACATAGCCCAGTTTTATAGCCTTCCGTATGCTTGGGCTGAACAGTTATGGAGCCACCAAGAAAAATACCCAAGTGGCAAACAACTTATACCTAAAGCAGGCAAGACACCCTCTCTTCCTGCATCCTCCCTTCAGAAACACTAATACAAAATTAGTTGCATTGTATTGTGTCTAAGGGGCACTACATTACCTACATGAACACATGTGAAGCTGCATTGTAATGAATCAGACCCTTGGTCCATCAAAGTCAGTACTGTCTACTCAAAACCAGCAGCAGCTCTTCAAGATCTTAAGCAGAGGCCTTTCAGATGACCTCCTAAAGGATCTTGGGTTTTTTTGTTTGTTTGTTCATTTGTTTTCAAAGACAGGGATGACATATTTTCTCTGGCAACGTTTGAGCAAAGGGTAGCACTGACTCAGCCACACATGAGACTCGGGATCTCTTTCTTTTCTAAGCCTCAGCAAGCCAGAGGATGATGCAGAGCTACTCAGCTATGCCATAAGAGACCACAATGTGGTCAGCATACACCCAAGGAAGGCTTTCACTGACCTACTGTTTCTATAAGAACAATGTCATAGCCTCCTCCTTCACACAGTAGAATGACTTCATTTGTGGTCCGTGTCACACCACCCAGCGTTCCTCTGGTTGGAGACGGCCTGATGTAAGCATTCATATCTCTTGACAACTCAGTCATTCGAGTTTTGTCACCCAAGAGAGATCCTTCAAACATTGAACAAAGATAATATTACAACATATATAGCAAACTTTGTCCCAAGATTCAAGTCAATGCAGGCTTATTCAGCTAAACGGAGAACCAGATAGTAAACAAAACTTACTGCATGCATCTCAAGCATTTTCATTGCAAACAAGAATATTTAGGAAACCCAGAGTGCTTTAACTATGTAAAGACAAGGTGGCTACCCATATGGGACGAAAGCACATGCCGTTAAAGTCTTGGCAATTCCATATCCCCCCAGAAGTGAAAACAGTGCAGCTATCTCAGCTGATCATAAAAGTTCATGAAATCAGACACATATACCTAAGTATACTATAACTATGAAACCCCATATTTTGGAAACACACCAAAATCCAAAGGTGAGCACCATTTAGAAATTGTTTCTATTTGGAGGTGGGCCAGGTAGGCAAAATTTAAGCAGATTAGTTGGCAAATTTAGTATTTGATACTTCAGTGAATATAGCTGGTGTTGGTTACCACTCTCAAAGTGTTCGGTATGGGCTATCCCAGTGGGACTCACTCGGTGGCTTGCAGAGAACTGCATTCCCAATGGCCATCAACCAAAAGTGCCACATTTACTTCCATCACTGGCATGAGGCCTGCACCTCAAGTTGACCTGCAGCTTACCTGTTGCTCTAGCGGTACACGTTTCAAGGTGGGAACCAGATGCCAACCACAAGCCCCACTGTGGAGGGCCTTGCCCACATTCCTGAAACACTGAGCAGATACCACATTAGGGAATTGTGGCCTGAAGCACCACAGGTGGCATGTCGAAGAGCTACATGTGGCTCCTGAGCCACTGAGTGACTATCACTGGGCTATACCATGCATAAATAAATTTAATCAAAATAACTACATTGATTTCCCTAAACAAGTAGAAGAGATGATTAATGTTTTCACAGACATACTCACCACCACTTGTACTAGAGGAAGGGTCCACTGCCAGCACAGATACTTTGTGCCCTCTTTCTGTAAGCATTTTCCCAAAGCATTCAATAAAAGTTGATTTCCCAGCACCAGGGGGGCCGGATAATCCTAGGTATCAATAGAAACATCTGTGAGTCCAGGGCAATGTGTAATCCCATTAGAATTGCAGTACAATGCAACCAGCATGCTATGCAAAACTGCCAGGTAAGCATCTCTTGCATGAACACAGTGTCTTCATAATTTAAAGCTGAGAAAAAAGAAGCTCTGAACTAAACCAAATTAATGTATAGCTATCAATATTCTTCCGTCCCCTTGTCTTAGTTGTGTAACCACTGCCCTTTTCTCCCAAAGTTACAAAATTCATAATCTTGAGTCTTTTCTTAAATGCATTTTTTTTCTTTCCCCCAGTGCATGCATGCAGGTACACATGACTTGTGTTGCCTAACAAATCACACATTTAACCATCTTCTCTAAAAGGATTACTTTTCCTAAATCAGATCAAATTTGACTTCTGTTTTTCCCCCTTCCCCATTACCAGATCATATTATATGTAAACAAGTTTTATGCAAATTAATTACATCATTTACTGGATTTTTGTATGAGCATATTAAAGAACACACAGAGGATATTTAGAGAAGAGCTCATGGGAAGGATTTGAGTGGCACTTAAAATTAACCAGATACTAGGGAAGGTTTTCTTTTGAGTAGGCAGGTTTCATGGGGGAAACTGCTCCTACATAGCAATACAGAAATACAACTCTACTGAGAGGTACAACAACCCATCATAATGGGTTACAACTCCTTTGTAAGTTTCAGGAGTTAAATAAAAACATTTTGTTAAAGCTGTGGCGAATCAAATTGCATTAGATCATAGAAACAATTGTGCAAACAAAAAAGGACTGACCCACTCTAAAGGCTAGTGGCTTTCCTTTATTTAACTGTTCTTGTTCTCTGTGGTAGGATAGTACCTTCTGAAGGAGCACCTGCGCAATCTCCTTTTTCCTGCTGTGGGTGGATTCTACGAGAGTAATGGCTTCGGCCAAGCAGGCCCTCTGGCCACGGACAAGTCCATTGTACAGTTTATCTAAAATTCTTTGTTCCTTAGCAGAGAGTTCCTGCATTTGCTTTTCTGCTGTTGCTGGACAACACCAGCCAGTCTTCAAGCCCTTTGAAGATACCATCATTCGCCTTACAAAATGGGGCTGTAGCAAATCAGCCTGTTGGCCATATGGAAAAGCAGATCCTGGAAGGAACCTCAAACAAAAGCTATTCAAAGAACTTTTCCTAATAGTCTTTAAAAAACGGTAAGGAGGAAATTGTAGCAGCAATGATGATGCATTCATTTTGCCTTAAATCAGGGGGATCCGTTTTTAGACAGCCTAATAAAGGAAGAAGAAAAATCCCTAGTACTTCCATTTCTCTGCAACGTAAATTTTCATTATAAAAAGCAGCACAAGAACATACTACGCAGTCCATCTGCTAGATGTTAAGCAAGGTGACACTACATTCATGAGCAACAAAAGCCTGAAGGTGGGGGTAGTTGGAGCATGTGGGGAAACGGTTAATCAAAAACACAGCTACCCAACTGTTTCCCATCACACAGGCCATATAACATGTACAGTAAAAGTGCAGCTCACCAGCCAAGGTAGCACCTCCCCTCCTTCCAATGTCTGCAACCTAAAACAGAGAAAGCCCACCGTCCGGCCCAGTCCCCAATGGGGTGGCCTTGAGAGGGCAGAAATAGCAAGCAGGGGTAGTGCAGGCTGTGGATCCCAGCCTGGTCCTGGGCATGGCCACCACTCACTCTCGACACAAGGCTTTGTTAACCATCATATTTAATTAACAGGCTACCCCCACTCCGGACGGGAACAAAGCTCTTACTGAGGCTAGCCCCTACAAGAAATGTCAGAAGAATACCAGTGACAGATTTCCATTCGACAATTGTTATTTTTCTACTCCTTTGCAATTTCTATCAACCTAACCCATATGTGCAAAACAGAAATGTTCAAGGGGGCATTTTTATAAAGGGATTAGAACTGTAATATAATTGTAGGCATTTTACTCTACATGAGAGCTTTACATTGGTCAGTCACTGCTTTCCACACTGGAATGAACAGAATAAAAAGCCCACATATACGAAGTACATCATGGTATATGGAATTTCTATCATAAACATGTGGCACAGTTATACACTCTAGAGGCTCTAGGCTACATTCACTTGTGGTAAATGTATAAATACTAGTCCCTTTATTTTGGATACTAGGATTATAATGTACGGATACTAGGATTATGCCTTTAAAAGGTCATAAGTCCCTCCCTCCCACAATCACTCTGAATGTATTACTCCCATTGATATCAACAAATATATTTGGGATTGGATAGAAAGAATTCTAAACCACAATGAAACATTCCAATGGGAATATTGATACATACAGTTCTCTATCTGCCTACAGACACGGAATCCTTATGCTCCTTGGATGCTTTGTAAAAGTAAAGGGGCATGATCTAAATATCCTAAGTAAATAATAATAGAAAACTGTAAATCAGTTAGTTCAGTTATTCATACTTCTATAAAGTCAAACAAAAAAACATGGACCAGCGTACTAGTGAAAATGGGACATTTATTATTCCCAGGACCTGAGCACATGGACTTTAAAAAAAGTTGAATTTGAGTTACCCTACCCTACAGTTTAATGTGCTGAAGATTCTACTCATAGCATGCATTCCTTAGCAAGCAGACATGTCCACCAGCATCTGAATGAATAGTGGTTCTAGGCAAAGTCCCCTGCTATGGGCCAGTGCACAGAGATCTATTAAAAAAGAACACTGAAGGGGAGACTGAAAAGCAGGGCAATATTCAAAACAGAGATAAAAACAACATGGGAGCCCCCTCAAGAAAAGAAACTCGACATTAGCTAGATACTGCACATCTCTCCTTATAATATATAATTGAATAGTGGGTGCCAAAGTGGGTGCCAAAGTTCTAATTCTAAAATGCACTCCCTTAGTGTATGGCTGATGGCACTGCTCCTCAGCATATATCGCCACCAATCAGAAGGCAAAGTCCGGGTCCCGCCCACACCACAACTGCTGCGACAACCTGGTCTTTTGCATATGGAAGCTGATTGGACTTCAGTCCATTCCACACCTCAAACTCCCCCCCCCCGCAAGGCAGTTGGAATTTTCAGTTGCATAACATACCTCATAGGGGAGAGGAGAATGGGTAACAATGGTTACCACTCTCCAGGTGAGGGCTACAGATAACTCAAACATACAAATGCTCTTCAGGTAGCAGAGATCAGTCCCTTGGGAGAAAACCGTGGACTCTGTCATTAAACCCTGCTGAGGTCGCCACAGGAAACTGACACTGTTTGCCCAAAGCCAGAGCACTCTCCCAGAGCCTCTTTCTAGATCCCGTTGTATTTATTTCCACAACGGGCATTATTTCTAGTTATTAATAATACTGTATTGCAGTATCTACAATACACAGATCTCAGGCATATAAATATGTTTTTTACAACTATGTTTCAAGTGCACAATTCGCGCTATGCTTAACTCAGCCCCATGGGGTTTACAGTAAAGTTGAAAAAATTACAGTTTAACGTGAAAAGGACTAACCCCAGGTGACCGTGCCTTGGGACGTTACACCATACTTATCTACAGCCATACTGCCTATTGCATTAACGTCTGTTTTTGACACTCAGTGGAGCATTTTTTACCAATACTTAAAGCGATTAAAGGGACAGAGAGCAGTACTCCATTTGCAATACAGCAATATAAAAGCAGCCCGAACAACCAGGAGAACAAACCCTACCACCGTACCGCCCCCCCGCTCCCCCCACCCCGTGCTGACAGGGAACCTTGGGAAAGCAACACTACGTCCCCTCCCCCCCGCCTCGACTGACAAGTTGGGGGATCAAGGAAATGACCTGAACTGCTGCGAATCTTTTACATCCGGGACACGTCAGTGAATACCACTCAGACCACAGCCTGCTCTTGTTCCGACCCCCGCCTACTTGCTCGGTGACAATGACGTTGCGCCTGCGTAGAAGACAGTTGCCGTGGGCGGAGGCAGCAACTCTCCGCGCAGGCTCAGTTAGAAGCACGGTGTCTTTTGTCGTTTGTAGGTGGCTCTAGAGGAGAGGGTTGGAGCTTTTGAGTTCTTTTGTCTGCGAGAGGGATCGCTTCTCCCTCCCCGCTTTCCCCCCTTTCAATCCTTGGCTCTGTGTTGTTAGAATGGTGATGAGAGTCACAGCTGTTCCTAAGATGCAGAAATTCAGCAGTTTGCCGTTGCAGTGATTTGGCACCTACCTACCCCCCAGAAATACACACTTTCAAACTTTTGTCTTCATTTGGAGGGAAATGGGTTGGCGTGTTTAAAGAAATTTTAAAATCGCCTTGGCAATGCTTTGTATGCTAGAAAAAGGGGAATACATTTTCCTGTAATATTCCCCGCCACCCGTCGAAGTTGAGACAGCCCTGCAGTACAGTCAGTGTTTCTCCCATACTCTGGGTTGCTCACCTGTGTGTAGGGTTTCCAGCTCTGGGTTGGAAAATACCTGAACATTTGGGGGACAGCCTGAGGGAGGCAGGATTTAGAGAGGGGAGGGTCTTCAGTGGGGTATAATGCCAGAGTCCACCTTCCAAAGGGGCCATTTTCTCTAGGTGAACTGATCTCCATCGTCTGGAGATCACTTGGAATACTGGGAGCCACCACCTGGAGGTTGGCAACATACCTGTATGTGTGAGCCTGCCTGACCCTTTTTTTAAAAAAAGAACAACAACCCTGTAATGTGGTCCACTTTATTGCAGGTTTTTGAAGGGGAAGAGGAGGGTTTTAAATATCCTGTACAATAATCTTAAACATTTCATATGAGGGCTAAAATTGATCATTGTCAGGGATAGATTAATGCCCTGAGTGAACACAAAATGTATGTATTGTGACCCAAATGTGAGACCTGACTATGGCCTCTACACACACAACAGACTGAGGTGGTAGAGCAGACTGTGCCACTTCAGAATGTAGGAGAGACAATTCCCCTGTATTAAGAATTCACCCCAGGGGGGAACTAGTACTGCATGCTGAGGACGAAGACAGAACCTTTTTGGCGCTGGCCCCAGCCTCATAGAACACTCTCCCAGGAGAGATCAGGGCCCTACGGGATTTGGTACAATTCCGCAGGGCCTGCAAAACAGAGTTGTTCTGCCGGGCCTATGATTGAGGGCACCGACCTGCTCCTTGCTGATAGACTTATCTAGTTATATATATATAACTAGATTTATATATAATATAGGGTCTTTCCTACTGAAACGCCCGGCGAAAAAGCTCCGTTTTCACACCCCTGCTGAATTGCTGGTGGTCCTGCAAGGCTCTGATCTTTTGTTATATAAAAAGATAACAAATTTTTGGATATATGATTCTTTCTATGTGATACTGTTTATGTGATAATTAATATAATGGTGAATAATTTATAAGAAAAAATTAAAAATATATAAAATGAAAATATAAATAAAATAAATTCTTCCTGATGCACTATTTTCTTTTTTAATTTGCAAGGAATTTTTACATGGAGAAGCATTACAAACATGATTGTCCCTGCCTGGAGAAAATGGCTGCTTTTGGAGGCTGGACTCCAGGGCATATAACACTCCACTGGGGTCCCTCCCCTCCCCAAACTCCTCCCACCCCAGTTGCCTTCCCCAAAAATCTCCAGGAATTTCCTAACCCAGAATTGGCAAGCCTAATTAAAGGTGCTGAATTTTAGCAGAATCCTGAAGTGCCTAGTAGACAAGCTCCCAATATCTATAGAACGTTTGTTCAAAACACATGCATTCCTAAGGTCCATAAGATGGTTCACAGCCATGCTCTTCTCCAGATACTAGCAAACAAGGGATGAAGAGGGTTGTGGCAAAACAGTGGAGCACAAGTTTTGCTATCAGGTCACATGTTCAACCCTCAGCTTCTCCAATAGAGGGTGTCACAGCTTTACCTGACAACACCGGGAGTTCTGTGCTTGGCGCTCCTAACCAATTTTTTAAAACTTAATTTTCAGGCACATGGGAGAACAATAAAAATTGGGAATGTGGCACATAGAGAAGGGGAGTTTAAGGCTTTCTCCCCATATCCACTGCAGGTCAAAAGAATGGCGCAGGGGGGAGGCTTAAACCCCCTTTCTCCGCACAACGTGGTCCTGATCCACATCAGACTCCTGTATACCTGAAAATTAAGTTGGGGGGTGGGAATGTTGAGCTCTCCACACATGGACCTCCAAACATACATCTGGTAAGGACCTTGGGTATTTAAATGTTAGGGAAGCCATTTCTCTGCTGTCGAGGTCGATGATTCAGCCTCGTATATGTTTATTCTGTGCGCTGTCTATACAGCACAGTAGAGTCTATAGCAGATGTAGACATTTTTTGTTACACATTTACTTTCTTGTGACATCAAGCCATAGATGAGCATAAGACACCTCAGATTTATGTACACCTGAAATATTCTGCATAGTCTGCTGTGCCTGTCTAACATATATTCAATAACAAAGCCAACTACATGTTGTCAGTATGATAAAAACTTGCTCAGGCAATGCCCCTTCTCCTCATGCAGAAACTGTGTAGTGTAGTGTTAGCAGGGACAGCCCTCTGCTTCCCAGCCAAATCAGCTTGGAAATAACAAGGAACATTGGTCTATATTTGTCTGTTAGTGAGCTGTATTATTTTTTAGGTTTTCCTTTTCAACAGTACACATTA